AAGTAATACTTGTATAATATTATGCTGAGTATCATTGTAATTACCTATAATAAATTATTCCAATTAAAAAGATTCAAATGAGGGCTTCTCTGGTGGTGCAGTGGTTGAGAGTCCGCCATGGCCGCTGAGCCTGCGCGTGCGGAGCCTGTGCTCCGCAATGGGAGAGGCCACAACAGTGAGAGGCCCGCATACCGCAAAAAAAAAAAAAAAGATTCAAATGGTATAACTACACAGAAAAAATTTTAATAGATTTAAAGTTGAATAACACAACACATATAAATTGTTTTAAAGCATAAAATTAGGTATAGATTTACAAAGCAACAGAATTTTTTTAGCTTTTTATATACACTAGGCCCTAGAGAGAGCAAAGAAAGATTCAAGGCTAGTAAGAATTATTGGGTTCCTCATTATCAGGGAGATTTTGTCAAGCTGAGAAAAATGTATACCAAGAGAAAATGATAAAAGTAGTAATGCACAATAAATGCAAATCAGACTATAGAATTCCGTAAATTAGAGAGGTCATTGAAGGCGGTCATGGTCAAGGAAAACTTTCTAGAAGAAACTGGGATTTCAAACATGAATAGAATCAAATAAGGAAGCTAGAAGAGAGTAAGTACTTCAGGTAATAAAATACAGAGTCGTATAAGTTAACTGCTTGGAATAGAATTTTTTAATAGGAAAATATGTTGAGGCCAAGGGGTAATGGGCCTTGAATGCAGGCCTGAGCAGTTCAGGCTATATCCCGTGAGCTTTTGAATATTCTGGGACAAAGGAATTACATTAGGAGGCAATCTTTTAGCAGAGTAATTTCCCTGGTGCCAGTGAATAAGGGTCTTGAGGAGAAGAATCTGGTGGCCTCATCTCCTGATTCCCATGCTTCCTGCCAAAAAGAACACAAAAAAACAAACAAATAAACAAAAATTAGTGCAAACATTTTTATGATGGGAGTGCTGATAGCCACCTAAATAAAAGAGGTTTCACTTTATGTATTCCAATCCTTCCCATTTTCCTTTAACATAACATTGTTTTTCAAATAATTATTTCCCATTTTGACATTCTTCACCTATCATGTCTCCAGATAGTTAAGACCGGCATGAAACTAATTTCAGTAGACTTTACTGTTTTAGAGTAGGAAGAACACTTAAGGAAAGATTATACGACATACGTACTTACCAAACCTCATATAGATTCATTTCTGGTGGATACACTTTGATCAACTTGGTATTCCTGGATCATGTGAGCTCTGACCTGGCACTGTGCTCATGGGGGGACCTTGTACGTACTGTGGAACTTTAAGTGGTAAATACCTGAGCATTTCCCCCTTGTTGCTTTTAGTCAACTGTGTCTTCATTTGGGCAATGTCAGTAGTTGAGGAAGAGCCAGTGCTGTTTCCTAGGCTCATTTTGGAGGTGCCCGTTTGGGTCATCCCACCACTGCCGCCACCACCAGAACCAGGGTCTAAGCGGGACTTGCCTGACACCAGCTTTCTCCGTTCACGACCATGTGTAATGGTATTAGCCCTTTAAAGATAAATTGTCTGTCATAATTTCTGAAAAAAATTCTTAGAGGTGAGGTTGGTTAACGAAATGGCAACAGAATTTTCTTTTATTTCCTCATTCTGACTTGTTTTTAAGCCATCTCTTTAAGCCTTACTTGTGTGATGTGATAATGCTTTACATTTTATCGAGAGTGTTTGATCAGACGCAAGGGAGGCTGCCCCAGACGGGAAGCCCGAGCAGCCAGCCGAGCCACCTTGCCCCTGCTGGGGGAGGAGCCACAGTGAGGCTGCCTAATGGGGCTGGTTTGACCTGAGCAGGTGACCAATGGCCAGGGGGCGAGGAGGTGAGGAGGTGGGGCTGCAGAAGGCCTGCCTACAAATAGGGTCGAGGGGCGTGACCACACTGCAGAAGTAGAGCCCTTCCGCCCAGGGCTGGGGAGAAAGCCAAATTGCAGGGGCGGGGTGGGTCAGGGATGTGGACCTGCGCAAACAGTATGGAGCTTCACGGGCACTCACAAGGCATCCAGGACATGGAACAGCAGCGCTGGGGTCCACAGGTGACACGCGGCCCGGCAACCAGTGCAGAGAGCATCATGGCAGAGCAGGTGGCTCTGAACCAGACCCAGGTGTGTGGGATACTATGGGAAGAGCTGTACCAAAGTGATTCCTTCCACCAGTCTGATACACATATCTTCATCATCATGGGCGCATCCAGCAACCTGGCCAAGAGGAAGATCTACGCCACCATCTGGTGGCTGTTCTGGGATGGCCTTCTGCCAGAAGATACCTTCATCATGGGCTACGCCCTCTCCCACCTCACAGTGGCCAACATACGCAAGTGGAGCGAGCTATACATCAAAGCTACCCCAGAGGAGAAGCCCAAGCTGGAGGAGTTCTTTGCCCGCAACTCCTGTGTGACTGGCCATTATGATGATGTGGCCTCCTATGAGCGCCTCAACAGCCACATGAACACCCTCCACCAGGGTACGTAAGCCAACCGCCTCTTCTGCCTGGCCTTTCCCCCCAAAGTCTATGAGGCTGTCACCAAGAACATCCACAAGACCTGCATGAGCCAGATAGGCTGGAACTGTATCATTATGGAGAAGTCCTTTGGGAGGGACCTGCAGAGTTACAACCACATTTCCTCCCTGTTTCACGAGGACCAAATCTGCTGCATTGACCACTACATGGGCAAGGAGATGGCCCAGAACCTCATGGTTCTGAGGTTTGCCAACAGGATCTTCGGCCCCATCTGGAACTGTGACAACATGTCCTACATCATTCTCACCTTCAAGGAGTCCTTTGGCACTGAGGGCTGCTGGGGCTACTTCAATGACTTTGGAACGTGATGGAGACGTGATGGAAAATCACATCCTGCAGATGGTGTGTCTGGTGGCCATGGAGAAGCCCGTCTCCACCGACTCAGATGACGTCCGTGATGAGAAGGTCAGGGTGTTGAAATGTATCTCAGAGGTGCAGGCGAGCAATGTGGTCCTGGGCCAGTATGTGGGGAACCCCAACGGAGAAGGTGAGGCCACCAAAGCGTACCTGGATGACCCCATGGTGCCCCGCGGCTGCACCACCGCCACCTTTGCAGCTGCCATCCTCTACGTGGGGAACGAGCAGTGGGACAGGAGCCCTTCATCTTGCGCTACAGCAAAGCCCTGAATGAGCACAAAGCTGAGGTGCCTGTGCAGTTCCGAGATGTGGCCGGTGACATCTTCCAGCAGCAGTGCAAGCACAGCGAGCTGGTGGTCCGCGTGCTGCCCACCGAGGCCATGTACACCAAGATGATGACCAAGAAGCCCAGCATGTTCTTCAACCATGAGGAGTCAGTGCTGAACCCGACCTATGGCAGCAGATACAAGAACGTGAAGCTCCCAGATGCATATGAGCGCCTCATCCTGTACATCTTCTGTGGGAGCCAGACGCACTTTATGTGCAGTGATGAGCTCCAGCAGGCCTGGTGCATCTTCACACCACTGCTGCACCAGATCGAGTGGGAGTAGCCCCAGCCCATCCCCTACATCTACAGCAGCTGAGGCCCCACAGACGCAGATGAGCTGATGAAGAGAGTGGGCTTCCCATACAAGGGGACCTACAAGGGGTGAACTCCCACAAGGTCTGAGCCCTGAACACCTGGTCCCCACTCCCACCCACCTTGGCCCTGTCTCTCTGTCCTTCCCACCGTCTGACCCCACTTCAGGAGGACTTCAGGACCATAAACTTTAGCCTCACATTACCAGCCCCGGGCCTAGGCCACCCTGTGCCACTGCTGCCTTGGGCCCAGCTACATTCCTCAACCACCAAGCCTTGGAGAGTTGTGCTTTGACCATCCCCAGCCACCACTGAGCCAGCTTCTGTCCACAAGACTGAGCCCCAGTGGAAGGAAGGAGAGTGGCTCTTCATCTGTCCTGGCTTCTTCCAGAGGCCTGGAGTTAGGAGCCACAGGGAGGGGCAGTGACAGGCCTCATGATCTGTATAAGTCAAATCATTATGTTGTACACCTTAAACTTATACAGTGCCGTGTATCAATTATACCTCAGTAAAACGGGGGGGCGGGGGGAGAGAATGTGTGTGTTTTACTGGGAGGATATTCCTTACTCTGAATGCTTGGAATCATCAGAGAAAAGGGTTTGTTGCAATATTTATTACAGCTGAGATGAGTCATTCTGTACATTAAAAAAAAAAAAAAAAATCAAAGGAAGGGATGGTGGGTCACAATCACAAAGACTTTTCAGTGAGTCATTGTAGTGGTTCTATAATTATCCTGTCCCTTAGGCTTGTCCTTCCTGCTCAATCCTTCTTTCTCCTTAGGAGGAGAATCATTAGATAAATTCAATTAAATAAATACCTGCTGGGTATGGCATCAACTTCTACACAGGATACTAATATAGACATATATGTAACATTCATTTGGGGGTTGACCACACAGTTTGTTTGTGGCCACACAATTTTCTAAGTCTCTCAAATTTTTAAGAATTTTGAATTTATTATTATAGTACAGCTTGTATTCTAATGCCATAGAAAATGCGATTTATATTTTCCATATGTTGTCAGGGCAGTTTGAAAAATCATTCAGTGGATTAAAGTTGTAGCAGACACTTCAACTGTAGAACAATTATTCTGAATAAGAACTTAAATATTCAGCCTGTTTTATTGCTTTTATTTTTCTGAGTGTCAGGAATAACCAAGTGCCAGTTTATAGGTATCTATGAGCCTGAAACAAGAATAAATAAAACCTGAAAGTGTGAATGAGTGTTAAATGCTTTATCTTAGGATATTGCCTGTGTGCTCGTGTTGTAATGGTAATTCTGATGTTGGACTAATTTCGTGATTCAGGTGGAACACTTGAAGTTTAATCAACATAAATTGTGTGTTGCCTGTTGCTTCCTCTAAGTACAAAATAACTTTTCTGTGCAAGGTGCTGTAACTCTTCAGTTCTTTTCCAGTTCAAGGTTAGCCTTAGGATTTACATCTTTGCTGTTCTACTATTCTTTAGGCATATTCAAAACATGAGTGAGATCAAGACTGATGTCGGACGAGCTCGAGCATGGATAAGATTGTCTCTAGAAAAGAAGCTCTTGTCCCAGCATCTCAAGCAGTTGCTCTCTAACCAACTGCTCACAAAGTAAGAGATGGCCTCTTGAGGCATTTCTGTTTCTGTGACCTGTGTGCTTACAAAATAAATTGCATAGGCTGACAAGCTGGTTTCTTCAGCCTGAGTTGCTGACTCCTCTGCACATGAACTCTTCCTTTCTAACAGGCACATGCTTCAGAAACTCTGTGTCATGACCTCCTATTTGATTATATCTGGGAGGGTACAGATTTCAAAGCCAAGGGGCAGATTGTGCTACTCTGTTCAGAACAAAAGCTAATAGTCCCACAGCTGATAGTAACATCCAAAAGATGGGTTGAATTTATGTAAACCGTATATCATACTGTAAAGATCACAACAAAACCAGGAGTGGTAAAAAAATTAAAAGGTCCACAGGAAAGGGCTTCTCTGAGAGTCTTGCTAATACTTACATTTAGTAGTTTAGAGCCAGGAAGCCAGTCAAGTGCATATTAGTTAATTGTTAACTGTTTTGATAGTTTCCCTTTACCCCATCAAGAAACCTTGGATGAAATGCATCATCCAGCTAATATGTATAGTAGAACTAATTTGAAGGTTGAGGACTTTGAGTTCTCTAGACCAAAGGTATGCAAAGAATTCAACAGAGACCTCAAACTTGACAGTGTTGGAATGCCACCAAAACCCAATTCTTTTTGTGATTTTGCATTTGTACATATCACTGTTGGGTTAAGTTACTCTCTGGAGCATTTTAGGATGAGTCTTAATGTCCAAAGAATAGGTTTGATAAAGAGTGCGTGATGTGAAGTACAGTCTGTGAACCTGACCTTGTTCCCTTAAAACTGATTACTCTCCCCACACCTTATCCCCACCCATAAGTCACTTGCCCTTTGTGGCCAAAGTACAAAGAAGAAAATGATAATCATTTAAAATCTTACTACATAAAAGTGACTACTAAGTATTTCACATGTTTTCTACTGTACTTCTGTACAGGTTCTCTTAGTTAAGATTATACTATATTTGCAATTCAGCATCTTTTTTTGGCTTAATATTATATCCTAACATTTTCTATATCATAAGGATTTAGCCTCTGAAATCTGAATGCCTGTGTTCAAATACTACCTTTACTATTCACTATTTGAATGGCCTTAGACAAGATACTTAACTTTACTGTATCTCTGTTTTCCTCATCTATAAAAGGAGAATGCTAATAGACTTACCTCTCGCGGTCACAAGAATTAAATATATTAATAATTTAAAAATACTTGGAAAATGCTTAAATGTAAGTGCTTAATAAAAAGTTATTTATTATTTTTGGGAGTAGTAGTTTTGTTTTTGTTAAAATCCCTCCTAAACTCTATTTTTAATGGGTATACAATGATATATTTTTACTTTTACAAATAATATTCAAGTGGACATTTGTGAGTAAATCATTGCCCACATTTCATATTATATCCCTAGGACTGAGTCCTTAAAGTAAAATTAATGAGGCAAAGAATATGATTGGTTCAAAATAATTATTACCAACAAATTGCTTTTCTGAAATTTTCGGTTCCACTTTCTATTATTCACTGCCACCCCCCACCCCCCATCAGCAGTGGTCATCACTTTTAAATCTTTATTACTTTGAGAGACAAAATGGATTCACGGCAGGTTATTTCTTTAATTACTAAATAGATTTAAATATATTATTAACTGTATATGTGTTCATTTTTGTGAATTGTCTGTTCTTTCTAGATTAAAGTTTCTACCCATAGTTTTGTCTAAGTGGAGATGTTTATTTTTAGTGGAAGACATAATGAAAAATATACTATACTATTATTTTGTGCTTTTCTTACCCTTTCCTAGGAAGCTTTATAAACGTTATGCTTTTCTACGTTGTGAAGAAGAAAGAGAGCAGTTTCTTTACCATCTTCTTTCCCTCAATGCTGTGGACTATTTCTGCTTCACCAGTGTGTTCACCACTATCAGTAAGTCTGGAGAATTGACTGTTAAGTGAAGAGTTGCTCAGATGACTAATGGAATAAGAGTTTATATTTTTTAAAACGAGACCTATCACAGTACAGTGAGTCAGACACTGTGACATCTACCCACCCACCCCCCCGCCCTACCCCATCTCCATTTATGAACGAAGGTTATGCCCCAGCAGCCGGAGTTGCTGCTGGAAGACCACCCTCAGCTGTCAGCTCCTGTGGGGAGTGTCTCACCAAAGAAAACTACATTACCTGAAGCTATCCCTCCTACCAGAGCTGGCCAGCATCCCTGCCTGATCCCTGGGCTGTCCCAGAACTCACTGTGGGACCAGCTGAGCACTCACAGCATCAGAGCTCAGTTTCTGCCTCAGTCCATCCTGCTTTCTTCATCACATTCTGCATGCTAATTTCTGACTCAGAGTCTGCTTCCCAGGAAACCCAGTCTGCAGTAGGAATTGGGATGGATGTAAAGAAAAATGTTTTATTAAACAAATATTCCAGTATCTTACCTGAAACACATAAATTCAAAGAATCAGTATATGATAATAAACTTATATAACTGAACATCATTAAACTTTGAAGATTCAGAAAGACTTCAGGATCTTGCTGGGTGTTGTAGGTCTATAGAGGGAGGAAATGATGACTGGAGATGTGTTTTTGATAAATTGAATTACAGCATTTATTCTGTTACAGTGGGTCCCCTTCCCTACTTTGGAGAATTTTTACTTGTATCAGCAGTTTTATTCAGCTGCAAGTATCAGAAGCTTGGAAAATAGTGGTTTAAAGAAATCCGTTGTTTTAATTTTCTTACACAGTGATAAGTCTTGGGGTAGGCAGTCCACAGTGCTATCACAGACCCAGGCTCTCTGACAGTGATCAGTGCGTGCTAATTGCCTCCAGCGATGGCTGTTCTCAGTCTACCCTCCAGCCCAAAGAGGGAAGGAGTGCCAAGGAAGAGGGGTTAGAATCTGTGCTAGAAAAACATAGTTTTCTAAGAAATCTCAATAAATATCACCAATATTTCACTGGGCACAATTGTATAGGTTTTGGCCTTCAAAGTCTCTGGTAGAGGCAGACAAGGGGAAAATGGAGTTGGAATGGTTATTGGGCCAACCTGTGTTATCTTTCAAGCTACTATTAGTTTACTAGAAACTAAGGTGTTATGTACAGTTTTGAAAGAGAAGAGTTAGGATCCTAAGTTCCTCCCCATATATGCAGATTTCTCTTCATCTGAGGAACTCTTTCAATTAGAGGAATCGAAATACATCATGAAATAAATATTCTGAGTTTAATAATATTGCTCTTTTTCTGCTTTATGAAATCGTTGTTGTGCATCTGTGAGCCCTTTGCAGCCACAGAACTGCTGACCTTAAACAGGCCTTTTTCGGTAGCTTTTCTAATCCTGTCAGTGAAAGAAATGAAAGTAGCCTCTGGGGCCTAAAATAACATCTTGCACTAACCTCTTCTGCTTTCAGTTTCAAAAATCATTTGAGTCTCATGATTACTAAAGCATGAAAGTATGGCCTTCCCTCTGACATTTTCCTTTCCTTCAGCCAAAATAAAAGGACAGAAAGGGAGGTTATTCACCCAACAGAAAGTCGTCTGTGTAAAGTTAGGGAAATGAACCATTTATCCCATTCATTTTGCTCATCTAAGAGCACATTGAAGCATGAGCTCCTATTGTGAGGCTGTATCTGAGCCTCTTGTCCAGTAAATGTTTTTAATTCTACGTGTAGTTCTTTCAAGGAGGGCTTTCTGTTAGCTCTCTTGTGGCTGAATGAACAGAAATCCTGAGAATACCAACCAAAATATTGATTCTACCCTGCTTTAAAAACAAAAAAAAAGTATGGCTCTGAGGGATAAAAATATGCTAATGTGTTTGAGCCATCCTTTTTAAAGGAAATGGAGGTATGTGTAATGCCCGGGTGGTTTCCACATTTGAGCAAAGGACGGTGATAGGACAGTGACATCTAGTGGTGTGCCTTTTGAAGAGCCTTCAGAGGGAAAAGATTTCTTACAGATCCCTTTCCACATCCTGATTCTTTCCCTGGGGCACCTCTTGCACATGAGTCACCTTTCCAAGTTGTAGTTTATAGACTTCATATTATGTCCAGAATGGAGGTGCTGTTGTTTATTATTCTTGGCTTTGCATATTGGACTGTAAAACTGGGATGGGAAAGTTCTGAAGTGCAGTGCTTTTAAGGGTTGGCCAAGAAAATCAGCAACAAGAGGATACTATCCAAGAAGTCATCTACCACCTTTTTTTATATGAAACCATACCAGTAACCGTGCTCATTTATACTCGATTCTGGAACAAAATTAATAAAAACATTAAAACAATGAAAATACTATATAGCACAGTCACTGTTTATGTCCTCAGAGATTCTGGTGCTAATGCCTGACATTGTTTATAAATGTAGTGGTGATGATAAATACGCACGTCATGTACACATGGTGATGTATATGTGTGGAAACCACAAATATTGGGACTTTTGGCTTATAAACCAGACCTCATCTTTCTAGACTGGGGGAGGTTATGATCTATCTTTTTGTTTAAGTACATCTTGATAGATCATTAAAAAGCAAATTATCTGTGAAAGCCAGCTGAGTTCTTAATGTATATTTGTTTTGCTATCAGGAGAATTTTATTGTAATTTTGTATTAATTTCAGCATTTTTCTTTCAGTGATTCCGTATAGGTCAGTGATCATTCCCATCAAAAAGCTGAGCAATGCGATCATCACATCGAACCCTTGGATCTGTGTATCAGGAGAACTAGGAGACACGGGAGTAATGCAGATTCCCAAAAATCTCCTCGAAATGACTTTTGAAGTAAGTTCAGCTAATACCTTTCTTTTTTTCTTTTTTTTTTTGCGGTACGCGGGCCTCTCACTGTTGTGGCCTCTCCCGTTGCGGAGCACAGGCTCCAGATGTGCAGGCTCAGCGGCCATGGCTCACGGGCCCAGCCGCTCCGCGGCATGTGGGATCTTCCCGGACTGGGGCACGAACCCGAGTCCCCTGCATTGGCAGGCGGACTCTCAACCACTGTGCCACCAGGGAAGCCCAGCTAATACCCTTCTTAGCACATAGTGTCATACATAGTTCTACACAACGATGCCAGTTTCACTTTTTCATATTTCCTTGAGTCAAATAATATAAAGGAGTAATTAAGCACACAGGATCATTTTTGGGATTATATACCTAAAGTTGTCTTGAACACGTGAATTTTTGTATTTTTATTGTTATTTTAATTGTTAAGCTCTATTTTTCCACTCATAATGGTGCACTTTGGGGCTTTGCCAGGTCCTATTCCATAATTCCCAGTGCCTAGTCGGAACCTGGCAAGTAGAGAACATTCAAGTAAATGCTTTCCCCACAGTGGTTCTCTTCCAAACTGTAAATTCACCCTGCCTGAACCTAGACAAGGGACAGGGGAGCTGCTATCCATGCTTTTGGTTTTTAGACCACGTGGTGATATTTATAAAGTGATTTTGCAAAAATATACCTTTCACTATGGTAGTCAGTTTTCAGGTCTTACCTGGTGAAGTATTCCCATACTTTTGAGCCCACATGCTGGTTGATCCTGGCATGCAGGAAGAAGACAAACAGCTGTTCTTGTTTCAGGAGGGAAGTGGTGCTAACTGAAATGTCCTGTTCTCATGTTCCTTGGAGTCTAGGAATAGCAGTTTCCACTCAGAGTCATAACACTGCCCAAGAGCTTATTCTGACACTGTCTAGCTAGTGGGGTCCCAGCCATCTGTATATAAAGGATTAAAATCCTTGGCTTTTCTTTGACTACCAAGTACGGAACATAAACTGCATTATAAGTCCCATCATTGCTGTTTCTAGACTCTCACATCTGCCTACTTCTTTCCATCTCTGCTGCCACAACTAATTCAAGATGCCATCCTCCCTCACCTAGATCGCTGTGATTCAAAGACGTCAAGGGCTTTGAGAACTCATAGTTCTGATGTTCCCAGCCATACATAGTCAGTTGGGGTCTATGATCTTTTATCAGAATTTAAAAGTCAGAATTTAGTTATTTATTTTCACCATTCCTATTACCATCGCTTTCTTTTGTACTTGTCCACAAAGGGTCAGGAATGACACTGATAACTATGTTTGTTTTTTTTTTCTTTTTAACAACAGCTTCAAAGACTTCTAGGTGAGGTTTGAAGTCAGTTCTGCCTTAGTATTTTATTAGAAGCAGAAAAATAGTCATGTTGGTGATTTTTTCTATCTATAATTGTTTCTCTGACCTCTCTGCAACTAAATCTAAACAGCATCCTTTTCCCACTTCTTGAGATTCTCCTCATCCTTCATAGGCACAAATCACTGACTCTGCAATGTTTCTGGGTTCTCCAATTAGAAATCATTGTTCTTTCCCCAGTGTTCTTCAAATACCTGTTTACATCTCTACTCTAGGGAATTGTGGAGTCCCTCTCATTTGATAGTTAATGTTCCTATGTCTCCTGTCTCATTAGAAGGGGTCTATTAGATGTGAATATTTTTCTCTAGTGCACAGCAGAACACATTATGCAGAGTGGGTCCTTTGCAGTTGTTAAATTGGATGGAACCATGGCACCACTGCTAAAGCTGAGAGGTAGCAGGAAGGGATCAGGTACTGAGTAACCTGTGGTCCTGTCCCTGCAGTGCCAGAACCTGGGGAAGCTGACTACTGTTCAGATTGGTCACGATAACTCAGGACTGTTAGCCAAATGGCTAGTGGATTGTGTCATGGTCAGAAACGAAATCACAGGACATACATACAGGTAAGTAAATGTCCTTGGGAACTCAGACTTCTTTTAAGACTCTTTAGACAAGAAAAGGTTTGAGAATTATTTTTATTCCAAAGCTTTCCCACTGCCTTCTGAATTTTAGTTTAGTTTTTTGGGTTGTTTTGTTTTTGTTTATGTCATAACAAAATTGTGTTATTTTGTTCCAAATACAAAATTGCCCCCAAAATACTTTTAAGAAACTGATTGTGTTTGCTGCTAATGCTTAGTCCACAAATGTTGAAAATGATTGGTGGAAGTCTGATAAAAAAAAAAGGAAACAAAAAAGAAGCTTAAAATAATGTCAATAAGAGGAAAGGCTCTTTCAGATGCTCCTGGGCAAAGCCAGCACTCTTCTTTGAGAACATTCTCCTCTTTTCTTCTGTAACTTAACTCCCGCATTAGCATCTAGTTTGAAGATATTGTTGTTGAAACTAACCCCAGAATTTTTATACAGACGAGGTATGAGAAAATACTAAAGAATTATTTTAATTTGATGATAACAATTTATTCTCTTTATATAAGAGAGAATATCTTTAGTTTTCAGAGACTCATACTAAAGTGCTTGGGAGTAAAATGTCCTGTTGTTTGTAATTTACTTTAAAGTACTTTTAACAAAAAATAAAAATGAAGCATATGGCAAAATGTTATGTTTAAGTCATAAGAATATGGGTGTCTCTTATCTTTTCTACTTTTTTATGTGTTTGAAATTTTTCATAATGAAAAAAGCAACCCACAGGCACCAAAATGATGGGCTTCACCCATGGTGCCATTTAAAAATTCTAATTAAAGCTAGTAAGATATTGGTGATTCTGAAGTTTGTTTCTGTCCTACCAGGTTCCCATGCGGGCGGTGGCTGGGGAAAGGCATTGATGATGGAAGCCTGGAGAGAATTCTCATTGGAGAATTGATGATATCAGCAGCAGATGAGGATCTAGTGAAGCAGTGTCGGACTCCACCCCAGCAGAAATCACCCACCATGGCCAGGAGACTAAGCATCACTTCACTGACAGGAAAAACTACCAGTAAATAGTTTTTTTATTTTCCAGTGTGTCATGTTGCAGGCATCATGTAGCCATTTCATAGAAAACTGTTGTATTAATGAATTACGGTAAGGAGATTGAAAAGCAAAAAGCCGAGGAAAATTAATTTGAGAGAAAGGCTTTAAGAGTGGGGAGAGAGGGCTTCCCTGGTGGCGCAGTGGTTAAGAATCCACCTGCCAACGCAGGGGACACGGGTTTGAGCCCTGGCTAGGGAAGATCCCACATGCTGCGGAGCAACTAAGACCGTGCACCACAGCTACCTAGCCTACGCTCTAGAGCCTGCGAGTTACAACTACTGAGCCCGCGTGCCGCAACTACTGAAGCCCACGCACCACAACTACTGAAGCCCATGCTCTGAAACAAGAGAAGCCACCACAATAAGAAGCCTGTGCACCGCAATGAAGAGTAGCCCCCGCTCACCACAACTAGAGAAAGCCCACGCGCAGCAACAAAGACCCAACAAGGCCAATAAAATAAAATTAATTAATTAAAAAAAAAAAAAAGAATGGGGAGAGAAAAAAGGGGGGAAAGTAAAGCAGGACATTAACAAATAATTAAAAGCCTGAAGAATTTAGATGCTAAAATCCAACAAAAACTGCATGCTAAAATCCAACAACAACTGCATGTTACAGTACTCCCACATCTAGTTATCCAGAGCCCCTTTTTCTAAGAAGAATTCTAAGAGGAATTCTAAAAATTCCTCTCCCTACCCCACCCCCAACTTCCTGTAGAAGTGATAAAACAAAATACTATAAAAAAGTGAATTCTGTGGATAGGATACTATGTTCATATGCCATTTTGAATAGTACAATAAACTTCTAATTTATACTAATGTGGTCTTTAATAGGCTGAATAATGTCTCCCAGGGGTATCAGATTTTAATCCCTGGGATCTGTAAATGTTACTTTATTTAGAAAAAGGGTCCTTGCAAATATAATTAAGTTAAGGAACTTGAGTTGGGGAGATTATCCTGGATTATCCAGGTAGGCCCTAAATGCAATCACATGTATTCTTATAAGAGGGAGGCAAAAGGAAATTAGACACACACAGAGGAGAAGACCATAGAAAGATGGAGGCAGAAATTGAAGTGATGTGGCCACAAGCCAAGGAATGCCAGAGCCACCAGAGCTTGAAGCGGCAAGGAGCAGCTTCTTCCACTGAGCCTCCAGAGGAAGTGCAGCCCTGTCCACACCTTGGCTTCTGCCCGGTGATACTGATTTCTGACTTCTGCCTTTGGAATTGTGGGAGAATAAATTTCTGCTTTTTTACATTACCAAATTTGTGGTAACCTAGTACCAGAACCACAGAAAACTAATAAAGAGGCAGTATGATTTAGTGAAAGATCACAGAAGTTTATCAGTGAAGTGGTTTTATTTCAGTTTATAGACAGTAACCATGAGTAAAATAAGAGGTACCTAAGAGGTCCTTAGATATTATTATTCCATATCCATTTCTTAGTACATAGTAATATATTAACTCTTAGAATGATACAGCCTAAAATGTAAAATTATTCTTTCTCAAATGATTCCCTATATTCATAATTCTTCTCTGCCTTCAGAAGTAAACTTAACACACACACACACACACACACACACACACACACACACACACACACACACACACACTAGAATAGCTAAAATAAGGGTAGAGAACAAAGGAATACTCATATATTGCCAGTGGGAATGCAAAAGGAAAAACCATTTAGCAATTTCTTTTAAAGATATACACATACTAACCATACACTTGACCCGGCAGTCCCACACTAGATATATACCCAAAAGAAATGAATACATATATCTACACCAAGACTTGTACTCAAATGCTGCTAGCAGCTTTATTCATAATAGCCAAAATGGAAACAACCCCAGTGTCCACCAGCTGGTGAGTGGAGAAGCAGATAGTGGTATATCTAGTCAATGGGATACTATTCAGCAATACTGTGGATATATCTAACATCACGGATGAATCAAAACTATTATGCCAGGTGAGAGAAACCAGACACAAAGGACCAGACACTATATGAATCCATTTGTATTAAATTCTAGAAAAGGCAATATGATAACGATGAAAAGCAGATCAGCAGTTGACAGGGGTTATGAGCTGGGGAAGGGGATTGACTGAAAAGGGGAACGGGGGGACTTTTTGGGTTGATGGAAATTTTCTATATTATGTTTGTGGTGATGGTTATATGTCTATACATCTGTCAAAACTCATCAAATTACACACTTAAAATTGGTGAATTTATTGTATGTAATACCTCAGCTATGCTGATTTAAAATTAAAAAGTGGATTTCAGTTCAGTCCTTCCAAATTATTACAACTTGTGAATCAGTCCAATTTTATGGGGTATTAATGTTTTGAGAGGCCTTATCCCCCACTTCCGGTCATATTTTCTTTCTCAATAAGCAGAAAATTTTAAATAATGTGAAACTCAGAGATGGGTACCGTGGTGTTTTTTTCACAGTGTGTGCAAGGTGATATTTAGAGAACTAAACATTTTAAATTGGTTTCAAAGTAATGCTGATCAGCACAGGGTTCGTTCGAAATGAATAAAAGCTTTCAACGTAGATCTTCATGTTTAAAAGAGAAAGGTACAAGTAAAAAAATTACTAGGAGCTGGAGATGGCACAGTATCAGTCCTTCAATTATAAGAGGTTTCCATTTTAGCAATTTTTTTGCGTTGGTATAGAGAAAACTTACTTGAGTCTTACCTGGAAAATGTCTTACGCAAGAAATCCTCCAGCAGTATGAATTTAAAGATTCTTAAATTCTAGACTGTATAGCATGTCATTTATAGTGTGATATGTGAGTTTGATTTAAGAGTTAATCACTACAAGAAAAGACCAGTTATTTCATTTTTCTCTTGTTACTTACTTCTATCCATGGATGAAACCTGTTTACCACCTTTTTTTCTTTTCCGTCTTTTTCTCCTTTTTTTTTTTTAATCATTCTTGGGGTTTGGGAGGCAAAGGTGCTTTAGATTCCATTCAAGAAACCCACCAAGCTCTCCCTCAGGATGGGGGCCTAGGTAAGCAAGTACTGGCTGAGAGAATGAAGCAGTGCCCAGATGGACTAAGTGGCCAGAAAGAAACAGTTCTGGGCTTCAAGGCAGGGTGTCCCCATGTACCTGGCATCTTTAAACATATACCCTTTACTTTTAAGACAACAGCAAAGCACACGATCCAAATTAGACATTCAGAGTTCCAGAAGCCTTAGTCTGTGCCTACTAAGGACTCGGAGGTAGGTGGGATAAGGGGTACCTGAGGAATGATGCTGTGGGTCTTTCCCACCTCTCTCCTTAGATCTGAGGACTAGCTAGCACTTTGTGACAGGCACCATGCCAGATGATTTACACATAATATCTCATTCACTTTTCCCTGTGACCCAAGAGGTGTGTATTTTCTCTGTTTTAGATTGAAGAAACTCAAACTCAGAGGAAGTTAGGCAATTTGACTAAGGTTATGGATTGCAAGTGGTAAGGCTGGCATTTGAATCTTGGGGGTCTCTTGGTTTCTACTCCATTGTGCCAATATGCCTCTCCCTTGGCCAAACTGGCCAAGGCAAGTTTCACGGAACCCTGACAAGCCAGCCTGCTCTGGTGAAGTGTTTCCACCACAGGCAGGCACAGTTGATGTCCTGTAGTACTTTGGTTTATTTCCCTTGCATGAGAATTCAGCCATTATTGATTATTTTTTAGAACCCAGTGCTGGACAGATCCAAGAAGGAATTGGAGAAGCTGTGAACAATATTGTGAAACATTTTCACAAACCTGAAAAAGAGGTATGATGGGCTATAAAACTTAATACGGTAGGATTTTAAAGCTGCTTTATACATGATACATAAGGCAGTAAAAGGTGCTTTAATTTTCATTTGTAAGCTTTCTAATAGCTGCAAAAAATGCTTCATGGCTACTCTCAGCACTTGTTCCTCTAGTATTTTTCTTAAACATCGAGCAAGAGCTTATTCTCCGGCACTGTGTGTTGCGCTCCACAGAGAGGAAGCCTCACTGTGTTGCTGTGTGGAGAGAGTGGCTTAGTTGCAGCACTTGAGCAAGTTTTCCACCATGGCTTCAAATCTGCTCGCATCTTTCACAAGAACGTCTTCATCTGGGACTTCATAGGTAAATTAAAGCTGGTGTGTGTTGTTATAAGGTCATCAAAATGTTTCTTAGAAAACTCAAACTCAGGAATTGGAGTGAATAAGAGTTAGTGATAAGGGTGTATGTTTTTAAAAGTAAATATCAAATAAGCAGTATCTGTGCTTTTCATTCAATCAACAAATATGTATAAATGTCCACAGTATTAAACAGTATTCTAGATGCTCAAGATATACATAAAGATAAAAGTAAACAAAACACAGAAATTCCTATGGTTGACAAATTTATAATCTGGTAGGGGCAAACAATACACAAAAACATAACAGATATGCAATTCATCTGATATGTTGGAAGGTCATCGTTGATCTGGAAAAAAATAGAGCAAGGTGAAAGGAAATGGAGTGGGGGCACTCTTTTAATGGGGGTGCTTACAGACTTTGTTGACAAGGTAACATTAAGCAAAGACTTCAAGGAAGTGAGCCTTGTGAATACGGGGAAGAGGGCACTGGAGGCTGAAAGAAGCGCCCGGCAGAGCAGGGTGGGGCTGTGCTTGGCCTTGCATGGAGCAGCAGGGATGTCCGTGGGACCGGAGCAGAGTGAGGGAGAGGGGCTGGGATTCGGAGGAGAGGGTGTTTACTGCCAGGGCCGGTTGTGGAGGGCCTTCTAGGCCTCTGGAAGCACTTTGTTCTTTGTACTGAATGGTATGGGAAGTCCTTGGAAGGCCTGGAGCTAAGGAGTGACATGATATAATCTATGTTTTAAAAGGATCACTCTAGTTCTGTGCTGTCCAGTATGGTAACCAGTAGTCATATGTGGCTATTTAAATTGGCTTAATTTAAATTAAGTTTAAAATTCACTCCCTCAGTCACACCAGCCCTACTAGTGGCTGTAGAATTAGACCTTGCAGATGTAGAATATTTTCATCATCATGGAAAGTTCTACTGGAATGTACTGCTCTAGCTCTCGCTAAACTTGGTATATTCTTTATTTTGCTATGCAGCTTCTTCTACAATTCCCAGTTTCTTTAACAGGGAAATTAATCATTTCATGTTTGTAAATAAGGCCTGGATGAAGTAGTTGATTTTATCCAAGAACTTTTAGGCAAAGAAAGGAAAGCTGACAAAGCTAGGCCCCCTAGAGTGGGTTGTTTTTTTTTCTTTTTTTTTTCTTTTTTTTTGCGGTATGTGGGCCTCTTACTGTTGTGGCCTCTCCCGTTGTGGAGCACAGGCTCCGGACACGCAGGCTTAACGGCCACGGCTCACGGGCCCAGCCGCTCCGCGGCATGCGGGATCCTCCCGGACCGGGGCACAAACCCGCGTCCCCTGCATTGGCAGGCGGACTCTCAGCCACTGGGCCACCAGGGAAGCCCTGTTTTTTTTTCTTTTGGAATGCATAGACTCTTACTGCTCCTGCTTCTGACATGTATATACATAACTCTTGCTCAGATTTTTGTTTTTAATAAATTTATTTATTTTTGGCTGTGTTGGGTCTTTGTTGCTGCACACAGGCTTTCTCTAGTTGTGGTGCACGGGGGCTACTCTTTGTTGCGGTTCGCGGGCTTCTCATTGCCGTGGCTTCTCTTTGTTGCGGAGCATGGGCTCTAGGCGCACGGGCTTCAGTAGTTGTAGCACACAGGCTCAGTAGTTGTGGCTCACGGGCTCTAGAGTGCAGGCCCAGTAGTTGTAGTGCACGGGCTTAGTTGCTCCATGGCATGTGGGGTCTTCCCGGACCAGGGCTTGAACCCGTGTCCCCTGCATTGGCAGGCAGATTCTTAACCACTGCACCACCAGGGAAGTCCCTCTTCCTCAGATTTACTGAAGCAGTTCCATGTCAAGGAGTTTGTTGCACAGTGTTAGCCAGCCATTCTATAACTAGAACAAAGGGCGCCACCTCAATGGCTACCATGTCTTTGCTACTTACTCTTAGAAGGCTCCAGTCTTAACAGACAAGTTCATGGGTTTTTTTTTCTTTGCTGTCAATTGCCATTTCTTGAAGGTATTCTAAAGAAAGTAAACTTTCCAACCGTCTGGAATGCAGTCTAGATTAGAAAATGAACTCCTGGGAGCATATTGTTCTACCGTGAAACATGGGCCTCTAGAAGTTATTGTGAAACCAGTGATAAAGTAATGATTTTGGTTTTAGGACTGGCTATAATGCAAAGTGTCGTTAGTATTTCCAGAATAAACCAAGTGATTCATCTTTTTTTATTTGAAGTATTATGTGTATTGTGATGTGACTCTGACTTCCTTCTGCAGAGAGAGCAGTTGCTTATTTTGAAACAACTGACCAGATTCTAGACAATGAAGATGATGTCCTCATTCAGAAATCATCCTGCAAAACCTTCTGCCACTATGTAAATGCTATTAATACTGCACCCAGGAACATTGGGAAGGACGGCAAATTCCAGATTTTAGTTTGCCTTGGAACACGGTATTAAGCCAGTTCTTGACTTTCCCTATCTTTGTCACATGTTGAGCAAGAATTTAGAAAAGATTATACCAGATCATGCCCCTTACAAAGCTCTCCCGTGGGTTTCTTTTGTACCAGATTTTATGAGACTCCTGTGTATTGGGTGCTTGCTATGTGTTGGGCAGTATGCTCTGTACTTCACATACGTTATCTTATTTAACCCTCCTGTCACTTCACCACCACCACTGCATGAAGTAGCAAGCGATATCCCCACTGTATAGATGAGAAAATAGAAAGTAGAAGAGGCACGGAGAAGTTAACAGACTTTCCAAAGGTCACACAGCTAGAAAGAGGCAGAGCCAAGATTTACACCTAGTCGCACTCCAGAGCCCAAAGCTCTGAACCATTTACACAGTACTGCACCAGAGGTGGGTGGATAAGTAATAGGTAGATTGGTAGATAATTAGACACACCAGCACATTCACACATATATATTTCCTGTATAGAGCTTGTATAGGGTGTATATGCTACCATGTTGCTTTAATTTAATACATTGTGGAATTCTTACTATCTAAGTAATTCTTACTATGGAAAGTCTTCTCTTTAAGACAATTTCCTACCCCTTTCTTTTTTTTAAATGACACATAGGAGCTGTACACTCCATTAATTTTAAAACGGCTCTCAGAATTGTAAGAAATGAACCACATAGATCTTTAGAAGATTTTTTTATCTGTGCAATGTTTGTTTTCTTCTAAACCCCTAGAAGCCCCAGGTGCAGGATGGCCTAGCTGCCTTGTCATGAAAGCTTAGCGAGCGGTGCTCAGTGAGGATGTCTTAGCTACTTAGTGACAGATAGCTAATGTCAGTTTAATCAGGAAACACTGAAGATTGAGATCCTGTCCTCCTGAAACAACTGGTTTACTGAGCTGAGTTCTGTATTTCTTCTTAATAAAAGCCGCCCAATTTCAGCTGTGTTTTTTAAAGTTCCTTTTGCGTATGATCCTTATCTCCTTTTATCTTGTTACTGTTCTGATTTATTAGACCAGCGCAACCCCTCTTTTGGTTTATAAAATCTACTTAATGTTTTTCTGCTTTGATTTTGTTCCTTACCTTGTAATGTTGTGTAAATTTTTTAAAAAAGCGCTAGTCCCTACAATTAAATGGAGACTTTCTTCCCAAAAGGTCAATGTACTTTGGCATGCCTTGCCACAGATGTCTGATTAACATCCCTGTAAAAAAAGAATACAGAATGGTATTCTGCCTTTTTTTTAAGTGGTAGAATCAGAGTAGAGAATTTCTTTAATACATCTAAGTCCTTATGGCCAACTTGTGCAGATCCACTTTTAGAACCTGATGGGTTTCCTCGTTAGCTTACACTGTCTCATTACCTTATCTTTTTAACCAGTCATTATCCAGCTAGTTGACTTTGGTTTTGTCTTTGGTGACCTCAGAGCTTGGCTAGAGTTTTCCCCATCCAGTCCCACACCCACACCTTCCCGTCAAAAGCTCCAGTGTGTGCCTTGTTCTGCAGCGAGGGCAGCAGTGCTCAGGACTTGTTTCTCTTTGGGTCTGTAGGGATCGCCTGCTCCCACAGTGGATTCCGCTGTTAGCCGAGTGTCCTGCCATCACCCGAATGTATGAGGAGAGTGCCCTCCTGCGAGATCGCATGACCGTCAACTCCCTCATCCGCATTCTGCAGACCATCCAGGACTTCACTATAGTCTTAGAAGGCTCACTTATCAAAGGAGTGGATGTGTAACCCAAATAGCTAGAAACTCTCAGTCCAGACCCCTTGTTCCTGAACGTTCCCCAACGACTGGGACCGATTTGGACTTGTCTGACGAGGTAGTGAGTCACTGCAGGGGGCAACACACCGTATCCCCCAATTTGAACAATCCTGACAGTACAGACAAGGTAAAGTGCTGTATTGTAGTTCATTTGAACCTGGAATTTAGTATAAAATAGAGTATTTTCATGTGTTAGATGTGTGTAAATATGCTCTCTTCTTTGAGAAATTATATTACTCTAATAAGATAACTTTTCTTAGATTGAATATTCCTGTGACTTAAAATAAGTAGCTTAAAAGTATTGGGAGGTGGGGGGTGGGGGGAGGAGAAAGAGTGGTGCTAGTCAGGAAGAAGCCAGTAAACATGTAAATACAGTGCAACCCAGTGGGGCTTTTTTTTTTCCTCCCGGTATCACAAAGGAACTCAGAATGCATTGTTATGTCGTAACCAGCCATCCTGGTGTCTGATCCTTTGTATTGTGAATGTAAACAGCTTTACCTAAGTTTCACATGGTTTCATACGTTTGAATTGAGCCACTTTTCCAGTCTTTTGGAAAATTTTTTTTGTCAGCACAAGATATGATTCAAATATTTTAAATACTGTACCCCAGGAGCTTGGCTAAACTGGAAAGAGAACACACAAAGCCCTGAGAAGTGTGTTAACTTGTGGGATTATAACTTCTTTACACTTTGGAAAGATTAGCCTAGACTAACTTCATTCTTGGCATTTTTATTCTTGTTATTTGAGGTACTTTGGGGAGATGTGAATTTCAGAGTGTTGGCCTCATGGTCTTAAGAACTGCAAACAGCAATTTGATTCTGTACTTTTAATTTGGCCATCTCAACCCTGCAGTGGTCCCTTACCTCTTAAAGATAAACACAAACACAGTCTTTGTTTGGTTCCAATCACCCGCCTCCCCTCTCCCGGTGCACATCCCCCCTCAGGAAATGGAAAGAATGTTTAAGAAGGAGGAGGGCCCTGTGTGGCTTGGAATGTTTTTGTGAAAGTATTTGTTGACCATGATAATGCAAATAACAGAAGAAGAGAGAAAGAATGAACCCTTTCTGGGTGTTTCAGGGCAAGCTTTATGTTCTTTTGTAAGCAGGGGTGAAAATGTAAAACAACTGGCCCAGAGAAGGTACAGGCCAGTACTGACAAAATGGAAGCAAAACAAGAGGCAACAATTTTAGGAGACCAAACATTGTAACTTTTCCAGTTTGGTATTTTTTGAGGAAGTTAAATAAATTTGGTATTAGCTCGTTACCTTAAGTCTTCATCTTACGGTCAGTCCTTTAAGTCTAATTAGGCATTTGCATGTTGTTAGCAGGGAAATTGCCTCAGCAGAGCTCCAGATTTTATTCCCAGTTGTGGCTGAGAAGCAAAGCCATGGCCTCTCAGGACCCTGGTGTAATCTGAGGGTCCAGGCTTTAGCCAATAGCGTTGTTTACCTTTTTTCCTGGAAGAAGAAACTAATGAAACAAGTGCCTCACTCCCTTTATCAAACACTGTATTCAGCCAAGGCACACGCCCTTTTAATACGTGACTGAGTACTTGAGGAGGGTAGGGAGAGTTGAAGGCAGCATTTAGAAACCCATGGAAAGGGTTTAAGAAGATGGTTCTGGGTGACCTGGGTAGACCAGAAATTTGTTTGCCTACAGCTAAAGTTTGTCCACAGTGGTGTGGCTGTTCCAGGGACATGGAAAGTCTGTTATGGGAGACATCCAGAACCTGTTTCACACTAGGCACTTACTGTTTCAGTGATGAGAAACCATAGCGTGATCCAATCCCGGATTTTGTCCTTGTTACCTTTTCCAAAGGCCATGCTTCTGACACATTCTGGGCGAACAGAGAGGTGGCTTAGGTTAGCAGGCTAGAATTGAGTCATCTAGTCTAGCCTTCTCATTTTACAGATGGGAACACTTAAGGGTCGGAGAGATTAAATACCCGCACACCTGTGACAACACAGAGTCTAGAATTCGTGTTTTTTATTACACCAGGCTGCATGAGACCGGCCTCCAAGGCATTCATATTAATAGTCTTTCTACCCTTGGTTGTTTATTCATCCACCTATACAGGTAGCACAGGGATTAATATTCATTTTAACAAATTGTCCTTAAGTTATAGAGAATTACACCTATTTTTAAAAGTAGGAGCAGGAATTCTCTGGCGGTCCAGTGGTTAGGACTCCATGCTCTCACTGCCAAGGGCCCGGGTTTGATCCTGGTCAGGGAACTAAGATCCCAGAATTGAGTCATCTAGTCTAGCCTTCTCATTTTACAGATGGGAACACTTAAGGGTCGGAGAGATTAAATACCCGCACACCTGTGACAACACAGAGTCTAGAATTCGTGTTTTTTATTACACCAGGCTGCATGAGACCGGCCTCCAAGGCATTCATATTAATAGTCTTTCTACCCTTGGTTGTTTATTCATCCACCTATACAGGTAGCACAGGGATTAATATTCATTTTAACAAATTGTCCTTAAGTTATAGAGAATTACACCTATTTTTAAAAGTAGGAGCAGGAATTCTCTGGCGGTCCAGTGGTTAGGACTCCATGCTCTCACTGCCAAGGGCCCGGGTTTGATCCCTGGTCAGGGAACTAAGATCCCACAAGCCTCACAGCGCAGCCAAAAAAAAAAAAAAACTAGGAGCAAAATTGGATTTTGGACCTGTGAATAATACCAATACTTTAAAAATTAATACCTCCCAAAAGAGTTATACCTAAAGTTTCATCCCACTTTCTATTGTCTGACTATAGTAGTGAGATGACCAATTTCAAAAGAAGGAATCACACCAGAACTGACACATCCTCTAGAATGCTAGGCCCTTTAGAGTGGTCACCTTGGGAGTCCATATATTATGCCAGAGATAAAGCCAGTGCTCCAGACACCTGGGGGGGTCTCCGTATGAGCTGCCTGAATGACCTACAGCCCATTCTTTTGAATACTGCCAGTGATGGGAAATGGTGGCCTTTCAAAAGAAATTTAAAATTTGAAACAACAAAAAGTCCTTAGGTTACAAGTTGATGAATGAAAAGGATACTTAAGCAAAGTTTGGCATCACATAAGAAACACAATTCTAAAGAAATAAGACTTAGTTCTTACATGGTTTATAAGTGTCTTTGAGCCAATATCAAAATATTTTGAGAGGGACAGTAGCAGAATCCTTAGAATAAATGTACATAGCCTTCTAAGCTGACTTTTGAAGGTCATTCAGAGGTATACTTTCTGCTCTGTTAACACTTTATTTTTTTTCCTGTTAATACTTTAAACTAGTATATTGCTTTGTCATCACACTTCAAAGTTAAAATACATAAAAATCAATTTTGTAATTGACTTTTTTTTCCTCAAAATAAATTAAAAGTAATACCTGGAATCATAATTAGTATTTTCACATAATAATAGGTTAAGAAGAAATTGTTTTAAAATTAACTTGCCAAAAATATTATCTCTTGAAACATTTATCTTCCAAGTGTTTTTCAAATGTCCTGAAACTCCTAATATCAACCTTGGTGACATAGTAGCATTACACTGACATTGGTATTATGTGTGAGACCCTGAAGCTGTGCCCTGTCTGGGGGCTTACCAGCGCCTTAAAAATGACTGAGGCTCAGTGTGGAGTAGTATAAAGTAGGGTTCTCAGTGGAGAAAAATGGGCTACTGAGAACAAAAGGAAGGCCTCCCAACCTTGTCCATCCTCTTTCCCACTGGGGGCAAGAATTTGATAGAAGAACCTAAAGCTTGCAAAAGTTTATGATTTCCCTCTAAAATTTATTTTAAATATTTCACACATTTTGTACCTTTTGTAACACTATGGTATTTACTTTAACATGGCTTTTTAAGAAATCATTTTAATGAACTTCTGTCACACTATATGAATGATACAGGGGAAATACTGAATTGCTCATTTCCTTTCTTTGGCAATAAAGCACTGTAGTATGTAAATGTAAGTAAAAGAGGGATAGAGGCTATACATAACAGTTCATGTGTAGTAAATGTTGACACCTCTGAGATATTTTGAAACATGAGGCAACAGACAGGACCTCAGATTCCCCAGGGATATATTTATTTGACAGCATTGGAAGTGTAACTCTTAATGATGAAATAGCTTCTTTCTGCTAAGAATTATGATTTTTTTCAGTAGATTTTCATTTTGAGAACTGTGAGTATTTTCTCTGTGAGGTTTACAGAAACTTGTCTATCCTTTTCGCCACTCGAAAGGACAATCTGAACCGTAGCTATTTACATTTCAGTATTAACACACCTTCACTGATTGAGAATGGAGTCTTGAGATCATCTCTACTTTTGTAAAGTGAATCAATCCTATTTCCAAGTCATCCGTGTCATTTGAAGTCCATGTTTCTTATATAAGTATTTGTTACATTACCTTTTAGTGTAAAAGGAGGCAGAAACAAATAATAAGCTACTAGGTCTCTTATTCCTATTAAAATACATTTATAAATCTCTTGAATCAAACTGATTTCCAAGCTTTTTGAAGAGGGTACCGATGGAGTGAGATCAGAGTAATCCAAGGAGAACCTCATCCTATCAGATCTTACTAGACCTGATCGTCCTCTCAAGGACAAAATAAAGATTGGCTCCAGAAAGTTATCACATTGAGCAGTTAATACCAGAGTGAAAAAAAATCGTCAAAAACACTCTCCTTATTTGAAGGAATCCAGGGTATCCTTGGGTTATGTGGGAGGGAATCACGCTTGACCCAATTACCTAAATGTATTTACATGTGGCCCAGCCTTTATTCCAAACACTAGACAGATCTTGTTAAAAGTAGAGAGGTATGGTAAGAGTTCCTGTTGTCAATCAAATGAGGGTGTTAAACTTATAAGAAGAATTCTCTATGTTACACTTGAACCATGTATAAATGTACCCTGTGTATCTTTTTTTTAAATGAGCATTTCTGCATTTAAATTATATTGTTTTCTTTGTATTGTTAACAAAATGCATCAGA